TTCAAAAAACTATATGATTCCATTAAAAAAAATGAAGTTGATCTTGAAATTACCTTGAATTATTGAATTATTGACTATAAAACAAAGTTAATATCACTAACTTATATCTTCCTCCAAACCCTACCGTACAACTTTTGCCCGAAACATTTCTTTCTATTTCTTACTTTATTTTTTATATATTTAGGCTTCCAAAATCAAGTGACTCATCTTGTACATCTATTCTCCTAGTCACTTTATATATAAAATTATTAAGGTGAGATCATCGAAAAATGAATATTTTCCAAGATATTTTACAATTTATCCCAATTTTTTTCACTATATGATAAGAAATATCTCGTATTCACTTTTCGATAACCTCACTTTAAGACTTTTTTATGTAGAAGGAGATATTTCTTATCATATATCTATCTTATCATATATTTCCTTCTTATCATATCAGTTGCTTACGTAAGGATCTTATCATGTATTATCCTGATATCATATACTAGGATATCATATATTAAGATAAATTGTAAAATATCTTGGTCTATATTCATTTTTCGGTGATTTCACTTTAATATTTTACGAAATGGCTAGAAGAATCGATAAATGTTACAAAATCTATAATATAATTCCATTAAAAAAATTCATGGTGACCTCGATATGTCTATCCAAAGTTAAATTAATATCCCTATATTTTTTCTTCCTTCGAACCAAACAACTTTTATCTAAAACATTTTTTGCTGTGATAGGTACTTTCAGAAATAATAGTCTGTAATACCTTTAACTTTACACTTTCTATACCAAGAGATATCTTATTATTAAAGTATTTTGCTTGATCGGGTGTAACTCGCACGGTTAGCAATGTGTTGGATCGTTTGACAAGTTTATGCGAATTTTTTCGAAGAATTCAAAGGCCGATACTTTTATAGTTACGCATAACTTTATTCAATAATGCACTGACGTCTTTTCGATGGCAGGAGGTCATCGAAAAAAACGAAAAAATCAAGCTAAACTTGACTACAGGGGATATCGGCTTAGAGTTTTTCGTAAAAATCCGCACGAATTTATTGAACAACACAACATTAAGTAATTCAACTTGGTATACGACCGCGTGCGGCGGTCAAAGGACTCACACCTGGTAAGGTCTATGCTCGAATCCAGCCTGGCACTCAATGAGCTAATGTCACGAATAATCACGATTTTCGGTTTATTTGCGCGATATTCGTAAAACAAATGTTAGTATCCTGTCCAGGTAATAGTGGGAAATCGATTATTTTCGAAAGGGTCTTTCGTTTCGTTAAGTTAAAAAGAAAAGAAGCCAGGAAAACGGGCGTTTCATCCTCTACTGCTTGCAATCCTTTCGATGGAAGGTTTTCATGTGCCTGCGAACGCAGAATGAATAGTTGCTGCAGAAGCTGCAGAGCTCGCAATGGAACTTATGACCGCTGTCGGTATCGTGGACGTTCCTCACGTGTCTCTCCATGTTTGCCTTGTACATGCTCTTATAAGGGCAGAAATTGCAGGCGAACGGTGGACCGCGCGGATTCATCTTGCAGCCGAATTGCATGTGCTTCTTCAGCAGGTTCTTCAAGGGATAGACTTTGCGGCAGTAGATGCACATGTGCCGCTTGTACACGATTTGGTTCGGCTGCGCTCCGTCTTCAGACGGCTGTGGAACGTTGTAGTTGCTTATGTAACCATACATATTCCAGACGGTTCCTGAAACAGACGAAGGAGGTTGCGATGAAGCGACGTTCGGCTTACAGAGGCAATCGCGGACGTTGTCAGCGAATGACAAGAACCTACGATCGCCCGGTCGTCATTAACTGACGCAATTGCAAATTGACACATATCACGTCACTGACTAACACTGAATGTGACAGTATGTTAAACAAGCCGACTGATATTTGCTTGGCTGGTATAACGGAGCGACCGGAATGATAAATATCAGTCGGTCTTTGCACATTTTTAATTTCGGAAGCGTGGACTGACTCGCACAAACCCCTTCAGCTGTTTCACAAGACGAAAGTGTAGAGAAACGGTTTAAAACACATATAAAATATCTCGCCACTGAACGTTCGATTTACGTTCCTTACAATCTTCTCTTACGGCGCAAAAGATGCAAGAGCTGAAGTGTAAAGCGCGCGAGTTCACATGACGAGATTACACCGGTGCAACATTCGTGTTCTGGCCACACATTTAGACTACAAGGCAGGATAAAGATAAATCAGTCTTTTAAAAAATCGATTTCACATCAATTACATAACGGACAAACACCGTTAGTTCGGCCAAGTATGAATGAAACTTGACAACAGTTCGGGAGAGATTATCGGCCTTAACAAGATAACAAGATTTTAGTGCGCGTTAATTTTCAGAATTTTAGTAATATTAATATTAATATTAATCGAACACCACACATGTGTTTGTGCTGTGCTAGATACGACGATATGTAACACGCTCTATAAGAGCGCGATCACTCCTAATCGACGACAAAAATAATCATCCATCCAATTTACCATCGCCGATGTACAATGTTCGACTAAACTTACACGGTTCTACTCGCACGTATTAGGATGACTTGATTATTTATTTAACGAAATAAACAATGATATAGACTCAATCACAAAGTGTGGAATGACGGCAATGAAATCAGACGAGACAGGAATTCGAGAGAAACTTATGTACAATTTTATTACACGGTGACATTTTAACAAAGTACACGTCGACGTCTGGTCGTCGTTACTTAAAAACGAGCATCATTCGGACGCGAAACGCTCGAATTTTACATCGTAAACAAGCTCACTCGAGTCCATCGAGCATGCGTAAAAATTGGATCGGACAAAGGATTCCGATCGGTCGGAGACGCGGAATCGCGAATACCTCATTACTACGCCTCACAGTGAATCGAAACATTGCAGATTGCGGACATAGCAGTTAGCGGTCTCATCTAATGAACATACAACGATCTGTATACTTTCTTAGTGAAAACATTAATTTTTCACGATGATTCCGCATATTAATTACGTTAAGTTAATATACGATTTCAGATATTTATAATGATTGTGAGACTTTACCGCAGGCATTTGCTAAGTATTTGGCACTTCCCAAGATGCATCACTTGGAAGTTGCACAGTCAGACTTGCATCTCTTGTGTATGTATGTTTATATACGTGCGTGTGTTGCGCGTGCGGCCATACGTACATGTTTAACCGTTTTAGTGCCAGGGGTTTTTAAAAATCCGTGTCGGATTGTGCCATGCAGCGCGATAGCGCTTCGTTCATTTATCTGTGAGTAATGCCAATCGACGCGATCGCGTTGCTCTTTTTTTTCGTCGAAATATGCCGCTCGGCGCTTCATTTCATCAGTCATATCAGAAACGTTATACTAAACACTCAAAAGTTTGCGAAATTCGGAACCGAGCGCGTTGCGAATTGACGATCGTGACCAAACATCGCGGCACATTTCACCACAGTACGCGAACAGCGCGATCGCGCTGCGTGGCGCTAAAACGGTTAAATATATGTATGCGCATGCAATGCAAAAGAATTACATGAAGAATTCTAATGTTTCTGAGAATAGGTCGTGTTCTCTCTTTTCATTTAGATTCGGGTGCAGGCTCAAAATAAAAGAATCGGCACTGATTAAAAGATGATGTAAAATATCAGACGCAAAACACACACGCGCGCACACACACACACAAGAGATGCAAATCCGGCTTTGCAACCTCCACGTGGTACATCTTGGGAGGTACTTGGTACTTAGCAGTAAAACCTCACAATCATTCTGTAAATATCTAAAATTATAGATTAACTTACCGTAATTAACATGCGGAATCATTGTGAAAAATTAATGTTTTCACTAANCGGTGACCCATTTTAATCGACAAATGGAGATATCTCCGAAACTACGCAACCTACGAAAAAAATGTTCGGATAAAAGTTGTCGAGAACAGTGGAGGTCATCTACTTGTGCTAATGACCTTGACCTTGAAATGACCTTGAAAACTAAGGTCAAGGTCATTAGCACAAGTAGATGACCTCCACTGTTCTCGACAACTTTTATCCGAACATTTTTTTCGTAGGTTGCGTAGTTTCGGAGATATCTCCATTTGTCGATTAAAATGGGTCACCGTGTATAATCATTGCATGCTCATTTGATAATAATGATAACTGCTATGTCCACAATCTGCTATGTTTCGATACTCACGTTCTGAATTTAGACACAGTGTCCTGTTTAAACAATTTTATGTATTTCGCAAATCCGCACTTAGCTGCAGCTGGCTCCTCTTTGAGCATGTAGTACAACGTTTACTGTGTATAGTTTAGTTATTAAAAATGCTAACAATCTTAAACACTTTTTTTTAATTTGATGACAAATTAAACAACATATATATCTTTTCGCATTAATCATACATCTTTCCGAAAAATACTCAATGAAAGCTATAAAAATTTTTTTAATCATTTTCGTATATTTAAACATGTGTTATAATATAAGACAAACCTTTATGCCATCATGAGAAAAACGTATGGAAATAAGGCGATCTGAAAACTTGATGCATAAATACCAAAGAAGTTACGTATATCAGGATGACCTGATATTGTGATAGGTCTGTACGGAAATAAAGGGAATATTTCGAGTATTTGAAGTTATCACAATAACCTATAACTAATTTACTATACAAATTGTTATAGACGGAAGTGGTAATTTTGACAAATTAATTTTTCGTTTATGTCCGCTGTCTCTTATACTTCGATCCACCGTGCACCTGTGACCTCGGATGCACGAGACGCATGTGTCTGAAGAGAACGTCCTTGCGACTGCTCTCATATCCGCAGAAGCTGCAGGAAAGCATAGGCGGTGTACCGCACACGGTGGTCAGGTGACGTTGAAGACACGCCTTCCAGGAGTAGCCCTTGCCGCATTTGGGGCACACGAACAGGGATTTGCCCGAATGCTCCACGAGGAGATCCTCGGATTTAGTGACCGCGCCGAGCCCTACAAAAATTAGAGGTGAGGATGTTATAAAGACGGTGGAATGTCACTCGGGATGGGAACGCTCATCCGTTCTCCGATAAAAGACACGGCGAAGCGCGCGAGGAATACGACGATGCGACGGCCTCGGAGATCCTCCGCGCGCTTACGCTATGACTTTGTGGAGAATAGCAGCAGCAGACGCAACGTTCCAGGCGCATCACATGCCGAAACACGTGTCCGAGTCGACGATAATAACGGAATATCTAGAATGAAAAATGCATCTTTCACTTTATCTCGGTTCTTGTCCTTTGTAAGGCCGAGACCGAGTCGGATTCCAAAAGGTATTTACGAAGTGGAGGTTAAGAGTACCTTTGTTAGGACGCAATACATTTATTGACGGATTCTGTTAATAGCAAAGACAACCGAGATCGTTATAACTAAGCTCTTAAGAAAAAACGCAATCGCGCGTGGTCTCATATTACCATAGATTATTATATGAATAATGAACATATATACATATAAAAAGATACAAACTTAAGAGAAAAAATTAATATAAGCAATCAAACACGTCTGAAAGGAAGGAGGTCTGATTTTCTCACCCGCCAACTTTTCGAAGTTATCAAATTTTCAAACAGTAAATAAGATGAAAGCAATACACCTAATGTTGTATGTATATACATTCATTTGCACAACGGTCTTCCGATAAAGTTAATGATACGGTCAGTCACAAAAAGGTTGCAACACTTTTTCCCCAATGAGTTTCAAAATGAGACTCCTGAGAATTACTAAAAAGCAAATTCTCCTATTGGACACGGGATGCATTCTGAAACTTATCAAAAAAGTGTTGCAGCTTTTTTATGACTGACCATACATCAAGTGGTCACAATTGCGAGCCGCGTCTCACGAGTTTGTACGGTGATCGATTGTGGAAATCGAGATGACAGATAAGAGACGTCCGACATCACAACTGCAATAGAGGATTCAGGAAAAATTCAAGTACCTTTATCATAATTACCTATTAGACCTGTAATAAAGGGCCAATGATAACATCGTATATAATCACTTCGGCTCCTGTCATAACTAATTACCGCATAAGCCCGTGAGCAGCAGCTCTCAATCGTGACTATTTGATGCGCTGCTAACTTCATTGAAAATAATATATGCAAACTATTATACAATTGTCGGCTGCATAAAAATAATGATGAAAAAAAAGCATACAGGATTTTATAAAAATATTAGTCGCGAAAATAACAATAAAATCCCCTATCATAACTACATAATCGCAACAGAAAATAAATTCGTTGTTGATTATATCTTTCGAAATACAACTGTAACAAACATATAACTTATAGTAATTATATTTCAACGCTGTGGAATAATAATAACCTTATATTATCCATAACGCAATAATTCAACACAATGTGTAATTTATATTGGAAAAGCAAACAATAGGTTTAGATATGATAATCGTCTCTAAAATTCAGTTACAAAAATTCAGTTACTAAAATTCAGTTAGAAAAATTAATATACTCTGTTTTGCTATAAATAACTTAACAGTAGAAAAATTAACTTGGTAATAATTTTTTTGCTATCTCGGGTATTTCGAAAAGTTAAAGCGCAATTGTGCATAAAAATTTCGTGTCATCGACACCACATTATGTAAATAGTTTTATCTTAACATAATATTTAAAAAATTAACTTGTAAAGAACTACATATATATAACAAATATATATACACAAATGTATCTATGAATACAATCTTAATTCTTCAAATACATTTTCACAAAAAAATAGAATTTCGTTTAAAATTATAGATCATACAAAGCGAGCTATCGTTCGTAGTTCGTCTTGTTTGTTTAAAAAATCAGAGTTGCCTGCAAAGTTAACGTTTATAAAATATCCTAAATATAGTATAATTCCGTTCAACGTCCATTAAAGATGCGTTTCTAATAATTTCGAGTTTCGCAGTAATTAAAATCGCCGTATTGTAACCCTGTTATTATTATTTAATTATTGAGGCTTCTGATTGACCGATACGTAATACGTATGCTCGCGGAAAATGTGATACTTGAGCAGAGTAGAGAGTCTGGCCTTGTGGGAGCAGTAGGGACATGGGAAGAGCGGCTCCATGTGGCAGAAGTAGTTCATGTGCTTTCGCAGGCTACGCCAGTCACTGTATCGCTTCTCACACTTTAGGCATTGTAGATTATCCTTGCAGACCTTCCAAACGTCACGCGGCAGTCTGTCGCAGAACAACCGCTGCGTGGCTGAAACACGATCAGAATTTTATGTAAGCAAGATAACGAATATTCGCAGAACAGAGTAGATGATAATAATGATCAATCGATTGCTGAATCACCGACCAGCCTGGTGGTTCTTTCAGTTCGTGAGCGTCGACTCGACTTCTTCGCCCCTTTGCAATTTTGTTTTTCGATCAACGAAAGATTCTCCATTAATTAGTACCACGTACGATTGCTAAAAATAAGGTCGGATAGAAAGTGTATCGGGAAATTTAGGAATGAAGAGGAGAAGTGCGACGCGAGGAAAGCAGACGGATGAATAAAAAATAAACTTAGTCGCACGATGTTTTCGAGAGTACAATGCCTTTCATTCGCACGTTTTCGTCGACTTGTCGAGTGCCAAGCAGAATGCACATATTTTTAGACACATGATCGTCCCTTATATTGTATCGGAATCTTCGGCCGCAAACTCCTTCTCTTACGTCCTCGTAAACACAGCAAGAGTTTCCGCGACGATCAACTCGAGGAATAGAACGCGTGCGCTACTTTCTGTCTCCTCGCATCATCGTACAATGAAATTGCGACGTATGCGAGAACTGAATCGTAAATATTTATTCCTGAGAATACGACGAGAATGCCGAAGATTTATCCTCTGCAGCGTATCGTCACGCTCACGAAGCGTCGTGTACATACCTGTTTCTTTCCTGACAATCGAGACAGCCGCAAACCCAATAAAACAGCACGCCGTTGCGTAAACCATATGACTTTATTATGCGTAAGTAACATTTTACAGAACAACAAAATTCCTCGTAAGTTGTATTCCCTTTGTATCGCAAGATATACATATATTTGTAACATATATAACGTATCGATCGACACAAACAAACATTCCACGAATTCAGATCCACATGCAAGTGCGACGATTGTCATTTCATGTTCTCTCTTTCTCAGTTTTCTTTTTCTCCCTCGTTATCGATTGTTAGATTGCGGATGTTCATGCAGTTGAATAAAATATACTACCATACGTAGAAAATACGCAAAAAATGTATGCAAATATATACGTTACGTTACGCGTATATATTATGCGTATATTTACAAAACGCTAGTAATTTCGTACGACTTAAATTTGTAGCTCTCGCATTATAATATATAATAATGACAATAATAATATATAATAATAATATAATAGCGATGATTATATGTGATGCGATTGTTCAAAATAATTAGTGGCGAAAATTTTTTTACTACGGATCAAGCAAATTTATATGAATTTATATAATAGAAATAAACTAGTGAATCATTGTTTTACACAATATATCGTAGACTATTTCACTTTTTTAGAATTCTGGCCAAAAATTTCCTCTTGTATTCATATGTCCTAACCGTACAACAATAATTTAAAAAAAATGCACTGTTGAATAAATTTCTTAAATGGCCAGCAAAACTGTTATTAGAAACGCATTAGCTTAAAAACATATCGTGCATGCGTATATTGATGTAATTTTCAAATTGATTTTTATTTTCTGTTTCAGCGATGTTATTAGCATATAATCAAAATGGCACGTAACATAATGAAGAAAAGACGATCCAATATAATTAAAACGATATATTCCTTCACCAGTATACCAAAGAACAAAAGGTTCGTGTAAGGCTCTCAGATATACAATATAATAGAAATAGAAAACACCCAGGCAAAGTGAATATGTTAAGAAAATGCAAGTGGAAAATAAACAAATTGTTCAGATAACACATTTTTTTAATTCTAATATTGTTCTACATATAATAATCGTTTTATAAAAGAAAATAAAATGATCAAACTCAAATATTTTAATCCTATTATTTAATTAAAATTGAAAGAAGAAAATTATTCGCTTTGCCCGACTCCGCTGGCTAAAATGAATAGCTAACGAATGGTTAATGAATGAAGACAAAGTGAATTAAGGTACAAAAATTGCTTTTAATTAGCACATTCACGACGAAAGTTACCAAATCCTAAATATCCAATTACTAAATATGACGTGTAAAACTCATGATCAACTCCAATTACAAATTACTGACCGCATTGAATCCAGTTTTCCGAAACGAGCAGTATATTCTTCACTATAGATTATATATAAGTATGTTTTATTTTCTTTAATTTTGTTCCCTTTTTTAGTTTAGGAATCTTTTTTCTCTATCACTATTACTAAAAAAAGGAATAGTTGCAAGAGGTGTTCGAGCAAAGAGGATGCCATATTCGCTTTGCTCTATTCGCTTTACCCAAGAAACCCTTTTGAAAACAAATTCGTAAAATATAATCGTTAACACAAATAAGTGCAAAATTTATAATTTAAAATGAAAACTCTAGAAACTGATTAATTCGACAAAATAAAATAATTCTTAATCAATTGACAACCACTATGAGTAATTAAAAAACATACCTTAACGTAACAAAATATGGAAAAAAAGAAAATTTTGAACTGCAACAACGTACAACCTTACATTGTTTCAATGTCACTGTCATAACGTCACAATACAATCTACTTATCGATGAATTTCACCATCTATCTATAAGAATTTAGCGAAAAATAACATTACTTTTTTTACGCAGGCAATTTGCTTTGCCCTAAGCCAATAAAAACAGACGCTTCTGGCATCTATTTATATTAATTATTTCTATTGATTGTACATCTAAGAGTCTTACAAATCTTTCGTTTTCTATGAATTTAGATAGAGTTTGTGAAAGGACATTTCCTAGTCAAGCAACCTAAATTTGATACGTCCGAGATCCAGGTAGAATTTAAAATTGAGCTATCTGAACTGTCGAATGATCAATTCCGGTACTTCGAAAATCATATTTCTCCTCTCATCGAGTATATTCTGACGTTCTCGGTATAAACCTACCAACACGACGTATTCATGGAGAGGTTTTGCTTACTGTTGTTCTCGCCTGGGAGGTCTAGGTATAATATCTTCTTTCTTCCTGTCAATCTCATTCAAAATCGCTTTCCATAGCAATTTCAGGTGCTCGACGTCTAATTCCACAACGAGGTACATACATCCACGACTATCGTGCTTGTTCAGTATCGTCAGGGTTCACAGAGGTTTCTTCGTGGTTCCCGTGCCCCTTAACCATCCAATAAACAACAAGAATCAGTAACGTAACATCAATGTTATAATTTCCTATTCAGTAATGTAACTGTTGCATAACACTGTTGCGTTAAATTGCATTTACATTACCCATACAATCGAAATCTTTCAGAGATATTTCAGAAATTTTTCATGTGAAAACGTGAAACATCTCAGAAACGTTTCTAAACATTTCTGAGACAGCTCTGAGGCGGTTCTGAGGTATCAAAATGTCCGTGATTCTTGTACTTGAAATCTTCCTGAAGATGTGCTGAAAGTTTACCGAAATATGTCTGAAACCTTTAACCTGAATGTTTGTTGAAAAATTACTGAAATAATTGCTTACGAGGGCAGTCCGATAAGTACTTAGCCTACAAAAGAAAAACGAAAATTTTGGAAAAGTGGCGATTTATTTCTCAACATAGTCTCCTTTTAGCTCGATACACTTGACACAGCGATGCTCCAACTTCTTTAACCCATCTGAAAAATACGTTTTCTCGAAGTCTGCAAAGTAGGCCTCCGTGGCGGCGATGACCTCCTCATTCGACTCAAATTTCTGCCCGGCGAGTGACTTTTTCAAGTTTGGAAACAAAAAAAAGTTGCACGGGGCCAAATCTGGGGGATACGGTGGATGGGGCAGCAGTTCGTAGTCCAATTCGACCAATTTCACTCGCCGGGCAGAAATTTGAGTCGAATGAGGAGGTCATCGCCGCCACGGAGGCCTACTTTGCAGACTTCGAGAAAACGTATTTTTCAGATGGGTTAAAGAAGTTGGAGCATCGCTGTGTCAAGTGTATCGAGCTAAAAGGAGACTATGTTGAGAAATAAATCGCCACTTTTCCAAAATTTTCGTTTTTCTTTTGTAGGCTAAGTACTTATCGGACTGCCCTCGTATATGCATAGTTATGTTTATTTACTCACGAGTTATGCACTAATATTATTTACACATTTCAATATCGTGCATTATGGAAAATATAATAGTCAAATAAAATTATTTAAAAAAATTTAATAACATTTATGCAATAAAAAAATTAATAATATTTGTTAATAATTATTAACAAATTGAAATCATTGTTGAATAAAGGGAGAGATTTATCCTGACTACTTGACGATTACCATGGAAGTTGTTTCGTACGTTTTATTCGCATCTTTGCATGGAGTAGATTTCGAACGGCGGCCAGATGGACACCTATCCACTTCTAGTACGCGGTCGCCGTTGCATAACTTCAATGATTGGAGAGCAAGTGAGTCCAACAGTTATGACAATATCCTTATGACTTATATTTATGTAATGCATATTTATATGATTCCTTGTATATATTTCTTATATTGACCAAAGTATGTTCCTATGCCATACAGGATATTCCAAAATAATCGCGTGCAAGAAACAAAAAATTATAAAATTTATTGCATGTGAATTGCATTGCATTGCATTTCATGCAAAAGATTTCAGAAACAGCTCAGCTGAAAATTTTCAAGTTTATTACATGTGAAAGGTTTCCGAAGCAGCTCAATTGAAAAGTTTGCAAAATTATTTCATATGAAACGTTTCTAAAATAACTCAACTGAAAGTTTTCAAATTTATTGCATGTGAAACTTTTCAGAAATAGCTCAGCTAAAATGTTTGCAAAATCATTTCATTTCATGTAAAACGTTTCAGAAATAACACAACTAAAAGTTTTGGAAAATTATCTTCACATGAAAGGTTTTAAAAACATTCCCGTTGCAACATTTCAAATAACATATTGCAGAATTCTTTCAGAAATATTGCACACGAAATGTGAAAAGTTGAAATGATTTTGAAACATTTCTGAAAGCAGCAACAATCGGTGCTATATAGATATTAAGTAGAAAATTATAACATTGATATTATGTTACTATTAGTGTTTACTGGGCATTTTATTTCCGGAAAAATATCTTTATAAACCTGCCGGTGCTTCTTCGCTCCAAAGCCTTTCTTCTTAGCGTATCTTCTTTATCAGACTAGCAAGAGCTTCATCATCCACAATCGCCTTCTCAGTGGAGTCCTTTGTAAATCCTCCTCTCGTTCGTATCGTTTGATTTCTTGTATTGTTTAATTAATTGAGTAATTAACAAATTACTTAATTTGCTTAATTAATTAAGTGACTAATAATTAATCAATTATTTAATTTACTTAAATAATTAAGTAATCAATAATCAATCAATTATTTAATTTTCTGAATTAATTAATCAATTATTAATTAATTAATCGATTAAATAATTTCATTCACGACACTGCTTCCCCAATGTCACATAGCCCCAGTCACGGTAGCTCCCAACTTTGCTTGGGGAGATGTTTGGTGTTTCCGAGTGAGTCCAGTTTTTTGCAAGGTACGCGTTGATCGCGCTGTTCAGTTCAAATAAAAAAGGATATCCTGTGATCTCCGCTATTATTCGCCTCGCGTCGCTATGCCTTTCGTATGCCATGCGAAAAACTGAGCCTAGTCAGATCCGAAGAAACACCGGAGCTGATCCACGGAAACAGCCTTATTGCATTCTGTTGACTGTTATGTCCGATGGGAAAAACTATCGCCGCTACTAACCAGACAGTCACTCAGACTCATTCAGTAATCCCTGACGACATCTTGAAGATCGCGTAGTTTCAAGCCCGATAGAGAAACTGAATAGAGG